ATCAGATATGTGTAACGTAAGGCGTCTGGATAGGCATCTATCTAGTCGTGTGATCGATGTAATTATTTATGAATTCGATTTGATCAGGAACATAGTTCCTTAAGGAGCATTTGAACTCAGAGATAATGTTATATATATATATATATATATATATATATATATATGATTATTTAGGGGATTTAGGCTAATCATATAGTAATTCGTCGAGGCTAGAATAATCCTAAAGAGAATGCAGAAAGCACTCGACGGTCGCTTCTTCCTATCTGGAACTCATCAGCCGTGCGCACCCACTACCGAGAATCGAACCCGGACCGTTTCGATACAACGTAAACGTCATACCAACTGTAACGGTGACGAAGAGTCACAAACTAGAATCGAATAAGCGCTACTATATATATATATATATATATATATATATATATATATATATATATATATATATATATATATATATATATATATATATATATATATATATATATATATATATATATATATATATATATATATATATATATATATATATATATATATATATATATATATATATATATATATATATATATATATATATATATATATATATATATATATATATATATATATATATATATATATATTATATATATATATATATATATATATATATATATATTATATATATATATATATATATATATATATATATATATATATATTTATATTTAATAAAATGCTCAGAGATAGAGCGTGTAAATATATAGAAGTCAACACTTAGAGACCTATAAGTGTTGACTTCTATGTTCACTTTATATATATATATATATATATATATATAACAGCCTCATTAAGTAACCATCTACCTGTAGTGACTCTTCGGACTTACAATAGTTAAAAAATAATTAATTGATATCGGAATTTTCATTTACACCAAACCTTATAACTAACAAAATTAACATGTACCAACAACTTAACACTAACTCGATTAATGATTTGTGCTATAGTTTATTTAACTACATTCAGTAAAAATAAAATCTCGCTTCGTTATGGCCCATGTAGTCCACGTATGGTTCCTTAAATTTGATATTTCTTAAATCTTGGTTTTACTGTGATTCAGAAGTAAAAAGAAGTGGTTGTGTGCGGGAAAATGTCGGGGTGGGGGGACTAGGAGGGGGAGAAAATTAAGATCAAATGAAAATAGCAAAAATAAAGAAAACAATGATTTCGTGATGTTTTTATTCGACAGCCGTAATAAATCAGTAAACCACAGAGGGTCCTGTCCAGCAAACTGCGAAGAATCCTGGTCATGTATGGGGTGAGGCGATGTGCTTGGAGACATATTGATGAGCAGAAAAGATGGTGGCTAAAGAAAGAAAAGGAAAAAAAAATGATAGTTGACGGTGTGCAGTGATTGGCAGGGGGCGCAGATACTGAGATTGCCACCCCATTTACCCTTTACTTAAATTCACCCCCAAGAAAAAAAATGCGAAAAATGATAATGTACACATTAGAGAGATGCATTTAATCACCAACAATAATCATAAGACATATAAATCTCTTCCTATTTTGCTTCGCAAGAAATCACGCCGGTCAGTTAAGTGTGGTGGACAATGGGTTCTTTTAACGAGGCTAATTAATCATTAGAACTGTTGCTAAGTTGTGTCCAATCAGGTAATTTTCTTGATGGATCAAGGTAGAATAGACAGGCGGAAGCGCAGTGTGTAGTGGAGGATAGGGTAAAGAGTAGGTTAAGGATTGCAGAACAGAGCTACATAAAGACAAGCAAATTGCTTCTGAAGGTTTTCTTCTTGCAGATAAAGTGACCATAAGAATCTGACCGCTCCCGCCAACACACCGTTGTTAAAGGATGTCTAAAATGAAACTTTCCTTCAGCTTGCTATCCGTCACCCTATCTTTAGAGAAAGTGGATGTCAGGGTGAGAAAAAAAAGATTGAGATCAGTAGGTGGAAGCGGAAAACTTGCGGGGGCAATAGGACGAAGACGTAAAAAAAAAAATCAGAAAATAGACACGTCATCTGTACTGATTGGATGTAATCTTTAGGGTCCCTTTTTGTCTAATGTCCGGTATGTTAAGACGAAGAGGACAAAGAAAAAGGGAGATAACTTAGAACAATAAAGACGCAAACAAAACAAACATAAAAAAAAAGATAAAGAAAAGTCATTACGACATTTTTAAACATGAATTCGAACATGCCAAACTCAAGATAAATGCATTTCTTGGAGTTGAACACTTAATGTCCAACACTATGGCAGTCCACAAATACATCCTGCCTCCACCTCTACCAACTATGGCTATGTGAAAAATTACCTCTTCGAGGCTACATGACATTCGGTTTCCACATTTGCCGCACTGAGAGCTTTACCGGGCATTGGAGACACTGGCCACTGAATTTGCAGGGAATATGGGTCAGTAGGCATGAGTAGGCATTTGACCCTGCTTGTCAAATGTTTCGCAAGATGGCCGATAAGGGCATCCACTGACCTGTACGGTAATCATACATTAAATGATTTATTTCCAGCACTGACTGATTTGTATATAGTGCTCATATCACGTAGTTTGTTCTTGAAACTCTCTTCAACCAAAGTGATTTTGTTTTTCCCTGTGTGTACCCAAGTTTTTCATACACACAAAAATTAAAATCTATTGGTTATTTATGTCGCCCAGAAAATAATTATCAGTCAAAATTGAATTGGAGTCTCACATATTCGTAATGCTTTTATCTTGTCTTCTTTTTCTTCTTTCATGTCGTCTGTTCGTTCAGGACGTGAACGATCATGGCTCTCCACAACTTCCCACCCTTTGGCGCTTTAAGCATTTTTTTTTATCCCCTTACTATCACTTTTCAGGTCATGGGTGATTATAGCTCTCCAAAATCCATTGTGACCCTGAGCAATTTTTCTCCTTTTATACCACCCCACCTTTCCGCCTTTCATTCATACGAACTCACCAAGTACGTTGCTCGCTGCCTTCCCTATTTCTCTTAATTTCAATAAGCCCTGTGGGGATTAATTTTTCCAAGCCCTCCTTCTTTTTGATGTGTTCAAGGAAGTTCAACTCTGTTTCTGTTCTTTTTGTTACTATTGCTCGTTGCTTACTTAAGTGTTACATATCTCCCTGATGGGGGTCAACGGCTCTACTTCACACATATTGTTGGATTTTCTCTCTCCCGACCGGTGATTGTTAGTCGGTTTCCTTCAGAGATAAAAGAACTTCAACCCTGGGAATTTTAACTTAAGCTAATTTATTAACCTCGACGTAGCCGTTTCAGACATGAAAGTCAACACGTCTGCATTGCTTGACGGTTAAATAAACAATTCTCTGAAAACCTTTTTCTATCTATCGTTCTCACGCCGGCTCAAAATCAAAATCGACTTCCTTTATTTTGTCTTCTTTCTGACCCCTAAGGTCAGCATCAGGAATTTCGAGCAGAGATACACTTCCCTAAAAAAATAATAGTCTGTTAAACTATTTTTTCAAACATGGAATTCCCAGTATGCTTCTGTAGAAGCACATTGCTGTTGTTTGCATTTTTCCTCGTCACTGGGATGATTGTTCAACATTCTTTCTTTGTATGTGCCATATACTTTCATGACGTAAGCGATCATGGCTCTCCACCTCCTTCTGTCCCTTGCAGCTCTCAACAAGTCCCTTCCCTCTGCTTCCTCTTCCAGACCACGTTCTGTCATTCACTTGCTTAAGCCCGCCAGGTATGTAACGCGTTGTTTTTCCTTGTCTCCCTTTCCCTCTATTTGACTCGTGAGTATCAGATCCTCCAAGCCCTTCTTTCTCATTATGTGTCCCAGAAACTTCAGCTGCCTCTTCCTGATGTTAACTATAAGCTTCCTTCTTGTTTGCTTCTTCTACACGCTCTCAGCGTTGCTCACACGATTGGTGCATGCTATCCTCAGCATCCTTCTGTAGAACCACATTACCGTTGCCTCGAGTCTCTTCTTCATCTTTGAGGAAATCGTCCAACATTCGCTACCGTTAACAAGAACAGATGTCACGTAGCAGCTCAGTATTCTTTTCTTTGTTGCCAAAGAAATCCTCCTGTGTCACAATACTCTGCCCAGCTTTTGGAATGCGTCCTTGGCCATCCCAATACGTCTACGGATCTCAGCGTCGCACTTGCCGTCCCCTGTCAAAACACTTCCCAGATATTTAAACTTCAGCACCTGCTTGATTTTAGTGTCCTTCTTATTTGTATCCTCTCCAAAACCACATCGTTGCTTACATGCTCGACCTATGATATCCTTAGCATCCTTCCGTAGAACCATACCTCCGCTGCCTCAACTCTCTTCTCCATCTTTGAGGAGACCGTCCAACATTCGCTGTCATAAAGGAGCTCAATACTCTTTTCTTTGTCACCAAACAAATCCTCCTGTCTCTCAATACTCTGCCAATCTTTATGAATGCGTCCTTGGCCATCCCTATATGTCTACGGATATCAGGATCGCACTTACTGTCTTCCCAGATATTTATGTAGTGTTCACGACCTGAACATTCACTGCTATATAAAAGGATGAATATCACATATACAATTCAGCACTCTTAACCCATTAATGGTTACTGCTGCAAATAAGAATGAATTGATTATAAGTTTCAGCCTATAATTCATACTGGGTTTTTTTCAATAAACTTATGATTAATAACAGATTTTTATTGTCATTCTTATAATAGTGGGTTTACAGTAAATGGGTGAAAACTGAAAATATTAAAGGAATTCATTACATTTGCTTCTATGCATGTTACCAGTATCATATTCATAACGTTAAAAGACGATTTAATGTACACCCAGAATTCCAGTTAGGAAGTTTGGTTATTTAATCCTAATATTCGGATTTTTTTTTTTATCTTTCTTGGTTTGTTATAAGAATTCTCTTCACATCTTATGTAATATTTTAACCCCAAGAATATATAAATGAATATCACAGATACGCCTCCATACATTCACAAATGCGAGTTGCAATTGGAAGCAACTACAGGAAATGTTCTCCATATGGACAATTTATTTTCTTGTTACCTTTTCTTTTCTAAATTACAAAAAGAAATATCTACAAATGTGATGGCTTGCTTTTTTTTTAAAAAAAAAAAAGTGACTTTTTTTTTAAGTCTCATTTTCTTTTTTCTTTTTCTTTCCTTTCTTTGTCGTTTTCTCGTTCTTTTCTTTTTCTTCCCCTCCTATTTTTTACTTTTTTTTTTACCTTTTTTTTCTTTTCTTTCTCTTCCCCTTTTACTTTTTCTCTTTTCTCTTTTTTTTACCTTGTTTTTTCACTTTTTTTTTTTTCTCTCTCTCTCCCCTTTCTTTTTACTTAGTCTCTCTCTCTCCCCTTTCTTTTTACTTAGTCTCTCTCTCCCCTTTCTTTTTACTTTTTCTCTCTCGCTCCCTTTCTTTTTTACTTTTTCTCTCTCGCTCCCTTTCTTTTTTACTTTTTCTCTCTCGCTCCCTTTCTTTTTTACTTTTTCTCTCACCTCCCTTTCTTTTTTACTTTTTCTCTCACCTCCCCTTCTTTTTACTTTTTCTCTCACCTCCCCTTCTTTTTACTTTTTCCCTCACCTCTCCTTTCTTTTTGATTTTCTCTCTCTCCCCTTCACTTTTTACTTTTTCTCTCTCGCTCCCTTTCTTTTTTACTTTTTCTCCACCTCCCTTCTTTTTACTTTTCTCCTCACCTCCTCCTTTCTTTTGATTTTTCTCTCTCCCCTTCCTTTACTTTTCTCTCCGCTCCCTTTCTTTTTTACTTTTCTCTCGCTCCCTTTCTTTTTTACTTTTCTCTCCTTTCCCTTTTTTTTTTTTTTTCCCCTCCCTCTCCTTTCTTTTTTTTCTCTTTTTCCTTTTTTTCTCTCTCGCTCCCTTTCTTTTTTACTTTTTCTCTCTCGCTCCCTTTCTTTTTTACTTTTTCTCTCACCTCCCCTTCTTTTTACTTTTTCTCTCACCTCTCCTTTCTTTTTGCTTTTCTCTCTCTCCCCTTCCCTTTACTTTTTCTCTCTCGCTCCCTTTCTTTTTTACTTTTTCTCTCGCCTTCCCTTCTTTTTACTTTCTCTCTCGCCTCCCCTTCTTTTTACTTTCTCTCTCTCCCCCTTTTTTTAGTGTTTCTCTCGCCTGCCCTTCTTTTTACTTTTTCTCTTGCTGACCTTCTTTTTACTTTTTCTCTCGCCTCCCCTTCATTTTTACTTTTTCTCCCTCTTCCCCCTTTCTTTTTACTTTTTCTTTCCCTCCCCACTTCTTTTTAATTTTCGGTCTCCCCTTCATTTTAGTTTCTCTCTCTCTCTTCACTTTCTATCTCTCTCTCTCTCTCTTTTTACTTTTTCTTTCTCTATACTTATTTTCACTTTTTATCTTTCTCCTTAGTTTTTTCTCTCTCTCCCCTTTCTTTTTACTTTTACTGTCACTCTCCCCTTCGTTTTACTTTTCTCTCTCTTTCCCCTTTTCGTTTTACTTTTCTCTCTCTTTCCCCTTTTCGTTTTACTTTTCTCTCTCTTTCTCCTTTCATTTTTACTTTTACTCTCTCCTCCCCTTTCTTTTTACTTCTCTCTCTCGTTTCTCATTATTTTTTACTTTTCTCTCTCTTTTTCCCCTTCTATTTACTTTCTCTCTCTCTCTCTCCCCTTTCTTTCGTTATACTTTTTCTTTCTTTTTTGTCTTTATTCTCTCTTTCTATCGTTTTTTTTTCCTTTTCTTGTCTTTTTTTTCTTGGTAATTTTTCATTTTCCTTCCCCTCTTTTATTTTTTTTCAGTATTTTTTTCTAAATCAAAATTCTTTTATTTTTTTCAGTTGTAGAGCTTATTGTCTAAACTTCCTTTGGGGACAATGACTTGTTGAATGAATATACGTTTGTTTGCTTTCTTTCTTTTTCCTACTTCTGAGTGAGTTCTGTGCAATTTTTTTTTTTTTTATAAAAAAACACAAAGAATAAAAAAGAAAAACACTCGAATCGATAGCATTTATTCCCATTCCTGTTTCATTTTTCACTACTGTTTAAACTAAGCAAAGCTTTTATACATGTAAATAAATGGCCGTAGGAAATGAATGATTATTATTGGCTACCTGATTTATTTTCTTTCTTTTTTTTCCGAACATTAATACCTATACAAGTCTTAAGCTGTAGCTTTTAATAGTTTATTTCTTACTCAACAAATTTGCTCAAGAATGCACTGACATAATTCTTTTCTTATTTTAAAAGTTCTGCTTTTTTTTAGTTGTAACTTTATTTTCTCTTTTTTTCCTTTAGCGTGCTCCGACATTTTCCCGCCAAAATAGGTTCCTTAATTAATCCTCTGATTAAACGCTGTTTTTTACTTTAGCCATTCTAGATTATTTAAATTACTTTTTTACTTAACTATTTTATTTAGAAAGCTTTGTTTAGTTTGGCATAAGACTACACAATGCTTATAATGACTGGTGATTCCCAACTGTATTTTAGTAATAATAACAAGTAGAAACTAATAAAGCTTTATTAGACTAATTCAGCTTTAACGCTGAAAAACGTTATATTTATTGCCATCGATAGTTACAAGCGGTAGGGGAGATGAGATGGGTTTATTTTGTTACCACACCAACACATTACTCATTGAAGTATTTGGTTTGGTTTCTTTTACGGTATATCAACCTCTATGGGCTAAATAAATGATGGGTTAAATGCCGACAATATTTTTCGGATAGGTTCGTATGAATAGAATATGTATTCTTTGTAAGAAATCAGTTTGTAGATCAGGTTTCATTGACGTATTTTTATTAAGAGGGATTTTTTTTTTTTGTCGAGATTCAAATGTATTGCTGGTAATATTTTTTTAAAATGTATTGTCGGTAATCATATTTTTCAAAAACCTATTGCACGTATTTTTACTGCAAAAATTTATTTTTATACTTTCATGTTATTTTGAGCCCATTTTGGGGGTTAATTATTTGCCCATAGCTACCACCCTCGGTCAGGGTGGACCTGGTAACAACAGCAAGAGGCGGTTCCCCGTTCCTGAAAACCTCCCGATCAAAGGCCTTGCTGACGGATGTAGTTTACCGCGAAGTACCATAGGTATAATGTTCGTAGAACTTCCTGTTAATTAAATAGTATGTTTTGAAGTACGAAGCATGCTGTACCTTTTTGATCTTCTTACGACACACTTCTGTATCACATTGAAGCAGAAATATATTTCGATAGAAAATTCAAGTAAATCGAGGAAGGTATGAATTCAATAAAAATCATTATCTCCAAAAAGATTTTCACGCAATATTCACTCGCCAAAAAACAAAAAAAAACTGTCCCACCTCGGGTAGAGATTTACTTGACCCCCCACTGAGTCAGGTTGTGACACAAGGTCTGTTTTTAACGTGGGGACCCGAGTGTTTTCATAGTGGTCAGAGCTGGTCTTGGCTTGTCATAGCTGGTCCAATCTGGTCTAAGCTAGTCGTAGCTGTGATACCACCAGCACTGGGATGGATCCCTATGCCAGGTAAGTATCATGTCCCACCTCGGGTATCAATCTAAATACATACCAGGTCTGATAATATGCTTTAACTGCCTGGTGTCACCCATAGAATATCCATCTAAGTACTGATCGAATTTGAAACACGGCTTATCGTACATGGTACTTCCCAAGGTTTGCTACTCTAATAAATGATAAGGTTTAACGTTGCTTAACTTTTCTAATCGAAAGAGAAAAGGTTTTTTTTTTGGGGGGTGTTAAACCTGTCTTGACGGTCACCTTCAAATCTCATTCAAAATCAACTGAAACTAGCGAACGGCGAAGGCGAGCAGTTAGGGAATAGGAATACTGTGTTGTGTTCAGTTTCAAAATTGGAAGGTTTTACTTGGCCTGGTGATCGGCTTCGAAATTCCAGCTTCTTTCTTTAATATTTAATTTTTTATCGGAACTTGAACTGTTGATACCAGTTAGTAGTGCATAAATATTTCATCTTCAAGGTAATTACCTTCTCTCCATCCATCCACTTCCGTTTTTACTCAATTTTTCTTCACTTTATTCGTGTTCTTTTTTCCCCTTTACAATCTCGCTTTCTACATGTTCTTTACTCACATTTTTTTTCTCATTTCACTTTATTGTATTTTTTGTCTTTCCCTCTCTCCTCGTTCTTTACTTCCCTCCAAATTTCTCTTTGGATTCATAACAGCATCTTTCTCTTTTCGTTCTTTAGTCTCTCTTTCTCTTTTCGTTCTTGACTCCCTCTTTTTCTTTTCCTTCTTGACTCCTTCTTTCACTTTTCCTTCTTGACTCACTCTTTCGCTTTTTCTTTCTTGACTCACTCTTTCGCTTTTTCCTTCTTGACTCACTCTTTCGCTTTTTCATTCTTGACTCACTCTTTCTCTATTCGTTCTTTGTTCTTTTTGCTCTCCTTGATTTCTCTATCTTTTCTCGTTCATTGCTCACTCGTTATCTCTGTTCTTATTCTTTGTACTCTATATTTTCTCATTCTTTGCTCCCTCTCTCTCTCTCTCTTCTTGTTCTTTGCTCGCTCTCACTCTCTCTTCTCGTTTATTGCTCGCTCTCTCTCTCTTCTGGCTCTCAAGCTTTCTTCTCTCTCTTTGCTCACATTCTCTCTCTTTTCGTTCTTATTTCTCTTTCTCTTTTCTCGTTCTTTGTTCTCTCTATATTTCTTGTTATTTACTCTCTCTCTCTCTTTCTCGTTCTTTACTCTTTCTCTCTCTATTGCTCGTTCTTTACTCTTTCTCTCTCTTTTCTCGTTCTTTACTCTTTCTCTCTCTTTTCTCGTTCTTTACTCTCTCTCTCTCTTTTCTCGTTCTTTACTCTCCTCTCTTTTCTCGTTCTTTACTCTCCTCTCTTTTCTCGTTCTTTACTCTCTCTCTCTCGTTCTTTACTCTTTCTCTCTCTATTGCTCGTTCTTTACTCTTTCTCTCTCTCTCCTCGCTCTTTACTCTCTCTCTTCTCGTTCTTTACTTTCTTTTGATTTTCTCGCTCTTTATTTTCTTTTTTATTTCCTATTTTTTCCTCCCTCTTTCTTTTTCTTTCTTTTTCTTTCTTTTTCTTTCTTTTTCTTTCTTTTTCTTTTTTTTTCTTTCTTTTTCTTTCTTTTTCTTTTTTTTTCTTTCTTTTTCTTTCTTTTTTTCTTTTTCTTTTTTTTTCTTTTTTTTTTCTTTCTTTTTCTTTCTCTTTCTTTTTTTTCTTTCTTTTAACTGACCCGTTTTCAACTTATCGTACAGTTATATCCCATTCTTTTATTTATTTCTTGTTTCGGAACTATTTTTTTTTTTATTCCATTTCATTTTTTTATTCTTTATGTTTTCTCTCTCAACTCTTTTTTAATAATTCTTTCGCTTAATTTTTAATTATGTCTTTCATTCTCTTTATCCTTCCACAGTGTCTGACTTATCGTATTTTCTTCCCAAATTAATTCCATCAGGATTTCGCTTTAAGCTTCATTTTTTTTTTTTTTTTTGTGTGTGTGTGTGTGTGTGTGTCTTTTTTTTTTCTTTCTTCTTTCTCTTCATTTTTCTTCACAACTCTTTTCTTCTTTACATGCATTTTCTTCCAATTATTATTTTTCCTTCTTTCTACCAGGGTCATTTCGTAGAACGGGCTACCTTCAAAGGATTTAATTGAAAAAAAAAAGTTTAATTAAATCATTTTCTGTGCTGAAACAAACATCTTTTTGCATTTGTATATGAAAGGCTTGCAATGTCTTGTAATTGTGCTTTTCATGGATTTTAGATTGGATGGAAAAATCAAACAAACAAAACGAACATAAAAAAACGGTGAATCGAAACGAAATCATTACCGGAAATAAATGAACAAACTTCGTGCGAGAGAGAAAGATGGCGGTGTACGGCGCGAAAACAAATCAGCCTAACTTGCAAAATGAATAAACTGAAATAAATAATTAAAACGAAAGAGACGCTTTAAAAAATTAATCAGAACCTTTTAAAAATCCTCTAGCAATGGCGAAAAGTACACGGAACAGGTTTTTTTTAAATATTGAAAACAGCATCATTAAAATATTAGTTAAAATAAAGATCCTTTTAAATATTTGCTATTTTAAATTCTAATATTTGTTAGATTTAAGCCATCCAAAATATTCGTTATACTTAGGTTTCGAAAATTTACAAAAAGACGTTTGA